CTGCACAAAGGGGTTAAGTCTTGGTCAATTTGCCAAGACACTTACAACAACAACGACCCCATGAGGCTTTCAAGTGATTTCGACAATATACAGAAACTTATTAGAATGGAACAATGAAAAGGACCTGATAAAAGAATGTATGAATAAATGGGCGAGAGACATCGGCAGGACCATATGGCTCAAAGAATGGGAGTTAATTTGGAAGAAGAAAACCCAACTCACCAAAGCCACATCCATTATAGAAAACTGCCATAAGATGTTTTACAGATGGCACCTAATGCCGGCTTTACTATCCAGATTAAATAAAAATCATAATAATTTGTGCTGGAAGTGTAAGAAGGAGACAGGAGTGTACTACCATATGTTTTGGGAATGTAAGAGAATCCATCAATTTTGGTCGATGGTTCACAAACACGTACAAAAAATAACCAAAACAAAATTTGAAATGAAGCCGGAATATTATCTCCTCAATATGTCAGTCCCCATCAAGAAGAAAAATGAGGAAAAAATCTTCTTCTACCTTGCATCGGCGGCAAGGATGCTTATAGCCCCAAAATGGAAAACACAAGAAACCCCCACGGCTGAGGAATGGATAATAAAGGTGATCGAATTTATGGATCTGGAAAGGTTATCGAGTCTAATGGAGAACCAGAATAAGGAAAGCCAAACAAATTGGAAAAACTGCAAAGAATATTTAAAGGAAACCAAGAACTAAAAACACAATAACAATAATTACCAACCAAACAATAGAAAATAAAGAATGAAAAAAGGAAAAAGAATACAAAAATAAAATGGAATAAAATAGAATAAAATAAAAATAAAGGGTACTAATTAGTACGTTATCCTACTGTGGACCAAACGGAAGTGTCAAGACCTACCCCTTCCCTCAAACCTCTTTCCTATCCGTCCCCTTCCCCCACTTCTCCTCACACTCCCTGCCCCTTCCCCCCCTATATATCTCCCCTCCAATCCTATATTTTCCAAGCTTTCCTATAAATGCATTGTTCTCCCTCTTTCTATGTCACAATTCAAAGGAAACCTAATAAAAAATATTGAACCAGAAGGAAGAGCCTGGCCTTGAGGTCCCAGTCCTTGGTGGGAGTTATAGTTTCCCAAGGACCAAGGACTAGCTTGATCTTGGCGCTGCAGGAATCCATCCCTTGGCTCAGTGGAAATCGCCAAGCTCCCTTTATGACTGTTGGACTTTCTATGCATCATTTTTGGCTCTAATGAACTCATTTTCACATATGAACTTCCCCAGTATGAACCATGGACACATGTTTTATTAAAAATTATTATTTTAATCAATTTCTCTGGCGGGTGGAGGGAGGGAGAGGGTGCTTGCTATGAATTTCTTGTGATTCCTATATTTCCCCATGTATTCTTTTCCTCATTTTTGCCCTGACTCCAAGCCCACTGCCCCTTTCCCCCCTCCCTTTGGGGAAAGATCAACAAAGAAGCTACCAGCTGTCTGAGGAGGCCATCAGCGACCACAAAGCAATCCTTATCTCGATACTTGTGCATGGAACCATAAAATAAAGAGCCTTTTGTTTGGTCTTGGAGTTGGGCCGCTAAACAAAAAGGTTCGTCTGGCAAACTTTTGATCACTTCCCATCGGGAACAAAGGACCTTCAAACAGTCTTTCCCCCGAAATTGCCATATTCTTTCAAAACTTGTCACAATGGACATTCACCCCAGTCTCCTCATTGTGTCATATCTGATGGCAACAGGAAAACCCAGATAAAGCAATCAACAGACCCATCAAAAGGACAATAGACTGGGCATCCTCCGCAGACCAGATTTCTCGGACTCAGACCGGATTTATCGACTTCGCAGATCAGATTTATCGACTTCAATATGGCAGTGGCGAAGGGATCTAAAACAAGATTCAGCAGCTTCAGGTGTGAGTGACCCCAAGTTACGAGGGGCTTAAAGAAAGATTTCCCCTGACCCGCTTCCTGTGGACCGAAAGCGATGAGACTTGGCCCAGTTCTGAGTCTTTCTCTCCATGGGTGCCACCTAAGGACATACACTTCTCCCACTTTATTTGTCGTGTCAGGGCAACCACTTCTCCCACTGTAAACACCTTGCTTGTAGAAATCATCAGGTTGCTCCAAAAGCCACGCTGTGACTTCGGAAATCAGAATCTCCTCACCTGAGAAATGTTTGCCCTTCATAAATAACGTCATTGTTGGAAAGAAGTGGAAGTCCGATGGTGCGAGGCTGAGCGAAGAAGGGGGAATATGGTGGAATTTCAAGGCCACAGGAGCTATCTTCTTTCATTTGGGCAACAAAACAGGTGAGTGGTGAACTGGTGCATTGTCTTGCAGAAGGCATGGTGAGCACGCCACGTTCATTATCTCTTGGTTTGGGTGGCCTCCCGCCATTTCTGCAGCAGTCAAGCATAATTTGCCCCAGTGATCATGGAACCCTTTGCTAGGAAATCATAGAATCATAGAATTTCACCATATTCTCCCTTCTTCACCCAGCCTTGCACCAACTCTCTGCCCCAAAGTGTGGTGGAGGCTCCTAGAGTTGGGAAATACCTCCTGGGCCATCATCCAGTCCAACCCCATTCTGCCAAGAAGCAGGACAATCGCATTCAGAGCAACCCAACAGATGGCCATCCAGTCTCTGTTTAAAAGCTTCCAAAGAAGGAGCCTCCGCCACACTCCAGGGCAGAGAGTTCCACTGCTGAATGGCTCTCACAATTAGGAAGTTCTTCTTAATGTTCAGATGGAATCTGCTTTTGGTTTAGAAATGGTCAGAGTCCCAGAGTCGGACTCGACTAGGCTTAATGTCAGAGGGAAATCTTTACCTACCTACCTATCTATCTATACACACACACACACAATAGAAGCTGCCCAAGAAACTGTGGCTCTGGGCTGGAAACAGCAGAAAAAATGGGAATTTAAAAAATGGTTTGAATATTTAGCAGAATTCATACTTCCTGATTACATTTTCTAAAGGAGAATTAAATACACGACAGGCGATTCCAAGGAAAATTCTAAGGGACTCGAAATGGGGAGTTTTGATAGCTAGAGTAAAAGGAAAAATAAAAGATGAAGAATTGAATCATGCTCACTTCACGATTGATCAATTAAAATAACACTTGAATTGGTAATACACTATTCCTAGAAAGAGGGGAGAAAAACCAATGGGCACAAGTTTACATAAGTGCGGAAATAGTAACGTTAAGAAAATCAGACATATCAAATGGAGAGAAAATGTAAGTGGAATATCATTATCTGTTTGTTCTATTTAACCCTGTGGGTTATTGAGATTTGTATCATTCTATTTGTGGGTTGTTGTAGGTTTTTTCAGGCTATATGGCCATGGTCTAGAGGCATTCTCTCCTGATGTTTCGCCTGCATCTATGGCAAGCATCCTCAGAGGTAGTGAGGTCTGTTGGAAGTAGGAAAAAGGGTTTATATATCTGTGGAATGACGACCAGGGTGGGACAAAGGACTCTTGTCTGCTGGAGCTAGGTGTGAATGTTTCAACTGACCACACTGATTAGCATTTGATAGCCTGGCAGTGCCTGGAGCAACC